GCCTGTTCAGCCGGACGTGTTGCCGTCTGCAGGCTGACGGCAAAGGTCTTTGCCGTGCGCCATGCATGCCTTTGCCGTCTGCCATGGCTGGCGGCAAAGTTCCTGATTCCTGTAGTGACACATGTATCAAGTTTCCGATTAATACAATTCTAGCATGAATAATAGACATTTATCATGATATAAGGAAATATAAAATGAAACTTTATTTTTGCCTCTAGGGCATATTTCCTTCATCTGGTGTTGCCATAGTTATAATAAACTCAAAATGCACCCTCAAATTTCTTGCCCTGGCCTATATATACATTGAAATTTCTGAAATTACTATTTGGTCTTACCAAACCACCAAAGATATAAATAGGTCACCTAGCGAGACATTAAAAATTTATAGAATTTTGAAGATATGCCAGCTGATGAACATGCTATATTACCACACCATATCCCTCAACACATTTTATAAGACATGTCTTAAACACGTTAAACGTAAATAGAACCAGCTATTTAGGTTTCATCAAGACACATTTTACTTAGAAAAGGTAGAAAAGGAAGTGGAACATTAAAGCCCTATCTTGAACACCTGTTAGGAAAAACAATGTCACATAAATTAAAGGAGTTAGATCCATGTCTTTCATATCAATAAAGGCAATTTAAATTTTGTGTGCAAAAGGTAGGCCTTTTCCTATTGTTTAGTGCAAAACTACCTAGCCTGAGAACTAGGATCTAGGTCTAAACTTGCACTTCCTTGCTATACTACAATTCATTAACTAGATTTTTTGTATATGTGTATCTAGAGAAAATTTAATGCATTTAATTGCCATTAATTTGTCACCATTTTATTACTCAATGAATTTCTCAATTACATCAGCAACCATTCATATCTCATTCATTATATAATGATTGCCATTGCATAATTTCTCCATCACAATCTACCAAGACAACTATCACCAACTCGTATAAACACCACAACATTACCAAGATGAGGGCAACACTTACTCATGACCCTCACTTTCTTCATGCTACCATCAGGTATAGTGTATTCATGCAACAACTTGCTCTAGCGATCCATCATAGAAAATTATAGTAATAATGGGTGTTTTTCACACAGATGCTTTTCAGACATGGCAGATTGGAAAGATTGCCAACCATTTATCATCCCACCATTGACAACATCATATGTAGTCCTGACACTTGCAGCAGCTCATGCAGTGACTGGTATAACCAAAGGGGTAGGGCAAAATGCAAAGAAGGTGCCATGTGTGACTGGGTGTCCTACTGTGTTCCCGACCTCTGCAACTACACACTATGCAGAGATTTCAACCTTCCACCCATGGGTCCTATGAAGAAAGTGGTATTAACCACATAGGGTGTGTAGCTTTTGCAAGCATGTGGTGTGTAAGTCACAGGAGCATAAACCCAATGACTGTACATCTAATCATACATGTTTTTGTAAGTGGAATATGATTCGAAATAGTTGCATTTTCAAAGGTATCACAATGGAGATCCCTTATAAATTCATATATTTGCTTACTTTGAAAAGGAGGATCCCTTATTTTTCTTTAGGATCACCGATGGTAATCAGATCTTAGAGAGAGAGAGATAGAGAGAGAGAGAGAGAGAGGGCACTAGCACGAGCAAGATGTGCCCAAACAAAAGCCAACATATGGTTTGGGCTGAAGTTGGAGGATTTGTTCGTCTAGGCTCAAATGAATCGAAAGAGAGCTTCGGTTAGTTTAGAAAGCTCCTCTCAGTGCTTCAGGCGCTGGGAGAGCCAACTGGCGCCCACGCGCTCCACAATCATGGGCCGACCCATCACACGCGACGTGGTCGCTCGCCATGACGCATCCACCAGGTTCGCACGATCAATGGTTGACCGGTTGACCAGAATGCAAAATATAAAATAATGAATTCAAAAAATTTCGTGAGTTCAAAAAAAGCTAAAGGATTTCTGAAAGTTTGTAAATTCAAAAAAGTTCACGTATTTGAAAAAAGTTCATCGATTTTGAAACAAAATCATGAATTTGAAAGTTCATCACAGATTTGGAAAAAGTTCATGGAGTTCGATTTTTTTTTCATAATTTTTAATTTTTTTGTGGATTCTAATATATTAATGCATTTAAAAAATATTCATGGATTTGAAAAATAATTCACTAATTTGGCGAAAGTTTTCAAATTTGCAAAAATATTACAAATTTATGTATTGACTTATTTTTTATTTTACTAGATTTTTCTCATATTTTAAGTGGACTTTATATTTTTAAATCAAATTTACAAATTGAAATTAAAGCGCCAATTTTCTCAAATGGTATATTAACTTTAGCAAATTATTACCATCTTTTGACTGAATTGAAAAACTTTTATGTGTTCTTTGAATTTTGAAACCAAAATTTGAACTTGAAACTAAAACATTCTCTCGAACTGTATGTAAGTTTTAGCTCAGATTTTACCACATTGTTACGGATTACGCTTGATCTACTACACATTTTTTTCAATATTTCTGTGCTATTCAAATTTTTATTATGTTGCCGAAATAATAACGAAACAATTACAGTAAATCAAACATATTACATTGACCAATCTCATAAAATATGAACTGAAATGACATATAGTATGAGCGGAACTTGCTGTTTTAGTTTTAAGTTCAAATTTTTGGTCCAAAATTTAAACTGCACAAAATAGTTTAAAGATTCTAGTAAATCGGGCATAGTTTAGTGAGCAATCTGATATTATAGTTGATGCATGTCTTAAGTTCAGTCATATGGAAAGAGGAGACAACAAAAAAATCTGATGACCCTGATGACTAACAAAACTATGAGTAAAATTCAACTAAAAAACCATTAGTAAAAAAAAAGGCGATGACTGACAAAACTGAGGTGAAAATCAGTTAATTAAGAAGGTGTGAAGTATTGTGAAGAGGTAGGTAATATCACCGGGGGTGCGGCTAATCTGCACCCCCGCATAGAAAAAAATTCAAAAAAATACTAAAAAAATTCTGAAAATTCCAAACTTTTTTGTGGTGGTAGATAATTTGACGCGTGAGGTGCGCCCCGAAATTCAACTCATTTGAGCATCTGAGCAGCTCTCGGTAAAAAAGACAAAATCAGGGTCTGTAAAAATGTGTACTGTTCACGCACTGTTTTGAGCCTGATTTGTCTTTTTTGCCGAGAGCAGCTCAGATGTCCAAACAAGTTGAATTTTGGGGCGCACCTCACGCGTCAAATTATCTACCACCACAAAAAAGTTTGGAATTTTTTGAATTTTTCTAGTATTTTTTTTGAATTTTTTGCTGAGAGGGAGCAGATGAGCCCGGGCACCGTTTTGAGTTTCTCATATCACCGGTAGTTATAGAACTGGCGTTTGATGTTCAGTTTGGTGCTAAAACTTTAAAAATACGGAATTATAGTCACATAACTTGACTCAAGCGTGCACATGCGGTCACAAAATACCTTTGCATGCATATCCGTGTATAGGCCCCACCTGTCTGTCACTCAGCAGATGCATTTTTGCAAAGAACACCCTTGTATATTTTATTCACGAAAAAGCCGACCACTATGACCCATTTTTATAAGAATACCCCTCGCGTTTTTTTATTTGCAAAAAAGCAGAGCACTGTACTGCAACAATTAATGCCTAAAATTCATGCGCGCAAGGTCTCAAACACGCGTCACGCTCTAGCAACATTAGTGAGTCTAGCCACTCCAACCATCAGGTTTGGATGTCTGCTATGGATGACAACATTATATCTACATGATGAGAAAAAAATGTGCAGTTCAAATGGGCTGCAGATGCTATGGCCCATTTAAAAATATATAACTTAAATATCATACATGATTCAATATTCATATCAACAGTTTACATTTTATATTATGAATATTTGTTTAACATACAAACATTTTTTATAAATCATAAATATTAATTTATATATGGAAACATTTTTTAAATAATATATACTGTTTTTTGAAAGTAGGTTATTCATTTGTATGTACAATTTTTATAACACACAAATATTTTAATGATTATTTTTATTACAGAAATTATAATTTACATACTATCTACATATTTCTAAAAAGACGAACAGGTGCGAAATGGGCTGCACGAGGGCCTCTGTCCTATTAAATTCATATCCTTCACTAAAAAAATGAAATTTAAATTCATATCTCGCTAGTTATGGATTGTGGACATATGCAGTTGCATATTGGGGTCGTTTTTTGGGCTAGCCTCTGGTCGTGAGTTCAAGACTTGATAGCTACACTTATTTATGTTAATTTCCATTCTATAATATAATAACAGGTGGGACATGTACCAGTACATATAGACTTTTTATCCTCATCAGGCATTTGAATGCGATCCGTGTAGTGGCTAGACATGCTAATGTGGTAGTCCCGGGTATTGTGTTGAGTCCTTGGTGCGCCCCATGTTTTAGCGTTAATTTTCGCAGTACAATGTTTGACTTCCCTGCAGATAAGAAACATGAAGTGGTTTTGTGCAAAAAATATATCACGGTGGTCAGCTTTCCCATGAATAAAAAATTGCAAGGGTGTTTTGTGCAATAAAACCTCGGTCGAGCACGTCCAGTCAATGACAGGTGGGGTCATACACACCAATACGCCTGTGTGTGTATCTTGTGACCGTATGTGCACGCTTGAGTCAAGTTGAGTGACTGCAATTCCGTATTTTCAAAGTTCTAGCACCAAACTGAACATCGAGCGCAAGTTGTATGACTCCCGATGATATTACCTCTATTGTGAAAGGTTTTCTGGGTTCATAGTGCAATCTGAACAAGATCGAGATTTGAAATTGTAGATTGAAACCTAATAAATATTCGGTTGGTAAGGTACACTTTTCTTCCCATTGGGAAGTCAACTCATAAGCCGAGTCGTTCGAAATAAGACTATATTTTAGGTCGATGATGTGCGTTCTAGCTGGCCATGGCTGTTGGTGATGCAAGTTGCTTCAGAATATAATGCACTGGTGTCAGCCAACGGCTCGTCTTTTCTCCCTTTTCTATGTTCTCCCCATCTCCGATCCAGCCATATCCACCCTTCCAAAGAGTCCAGAGAATCGAGAGAGGGAGAATGGAGGCCGCAACGCAGCTTGTCTCCATCGTCGGGCAGTTTGTGGGCGAGGAGTACCAGCAGCTCCGCGGCGTCGGAGGGCAGGTGGCTGAGCTCAGCGACGAGCTGGACACCATGAACGCCATCCTCCGCATGCTGTCCGACGCCGAGGAGGGCGCCGTTGACCACTTCATCCGGGTGTGGATGAAGCAGGTCCGCGAGCTTGCCTACGACGCCGAGGACTGCGTGCACCTCTACATCCTCCGCATCCGGTGCCGGCCGAGAGACCGCTTCCTCGTCTGGTCCAAGCGCGTCCTCGCGACGCTCTTCCCTCGCCGTCGGTTGGCTCGTGAGATCCAGGAGCTCCGCGCCCGTGCCGTCGTGATCAGTGAGCGCCATGCGCGTTACGGCGTCAGCCGTGAGGCGCTACTGCGATGCACTACTTCTTCTATAGCCGCTCCTACCCCCGTGCTCCGCCATGCGTTCGGCCGGCCGGCAGCAAACGACCCTGACCATCTCGTCGGCATCACGGAGCAGGCTGATAAACTGTCCAACATGGTGAGGGCGGTGGGTGACAAGAATCTCAAGGTGTTCTCCATCGTTGGATTTGGTGGACTCGGGAAGACCACACTGGCGATAGAGGTGTGCCGGAAGCTGGAGGTGGAGTTCCCACACCAAGCGCAAGTGTCCGTGTCCCAGGCGTTCGGCGGCACCAAGGATCTCGAGGGATTGCTGAGGCGCATTCTTCGACAGATCGTGCAGGCGAAAGCAGAGAATGCACAAGGCATCAAGGAAGAGAACCCCCTTCATGGCGTCGACGACAAGGATGAAAGCGACCTCACCAGGATGCTCAAGGAGCTTCTCAAGGACAAGAGGTACTACATATAAACACACACAAGCTATATATCTACATATTACTTAGTTGTTTAATTTATCATTTTGTCTATTAAGTTTAACCTATCTCAAAGTTCTCACACAATAATCAATGAAAGAAAAGGGAAGTGTGTATAGCTTGTCATTTATGGGATCAAGATATAAGATAAAACCCGCAAATCATATGGACATAAACAAGTTACGGCTACCATATAAACATAAACCCGCAAATCATATAAACATAAACCCCGCAAATCATACTAAAACCCGCAAGGCCGCAACAAGTGGCTAACCTCACAGCAAGTCGCGCTGGGTCTTGTGAAAAATTCTTCGCAAGCGTTAGTGGCACATACACAATACATGAAATTCTAGTGGCAGCCATGTAATATCAAAACTGGAGAGTGGCACATACCAAAATTTTCATTTAGTCTTTGGGTGGACACTTGCATGGCCATGGAGAAGAGAGTCAGGTATGTCTCCCAGAAGAGAAAGCCAAAAACTGAATTTATTATAGCATCTCTAATCATTGTAAGGTAATTGTTTGTCACGCGAGATTAGGATAATGTTGCATATAATAAATAAGAATGGATAATAATGCCATATGTACTGAACCAACCACCCTCGTACAAGTGTCTTATGGTCAATAGGCTTCAGCTAGGGGGGGGGGGGAGTATGGCCGGCCTCGCTAGAGGGAGTGAGGGTGAAATAGAACAGAAGGAAAGAGGATCAAGAGTTAGGGTTTCCCTGCTGAGGCTTATATAATGCCCATCTATCTGAGATGGGCCTAGATAGAAGACATCCTCTAATAGTTTTGGTATGTGAGATGGGCCTCTTCTTTGGTCCGCTTGCAAATGTTTTCAAGGTAGGCCTATCTGCTCGCCTGCGTCGGAAAGATCTAGTTTTCGACACAGACTTTTCTGCCTTGACCTTTCCGAGATATAGGCGCAAGAAAACCCAACTCAAATAGCCTATTTTGTGGTAAGCAGAGGGTGAACAAACACACAACTCAAGCAATGCTCGCTTTGGCTGGAAGGTTAGCCTACCTAGTTGGGAATTTCGAAGAAGTGAATGAAAACAAAACTAAAAAGATAGGAAAACTGAAAAACAGAGGAAAAAATATAAAATATTGCAAACAATAGAAAATGTTGAGGACCTATAAAAAAGTTGGTACAAAATATAAAAAAATGTCTGCAAAATTTTAAATGTTTGCAAAGATGAAAAATTGTTCCCTAATTTCAAAAATGTTTATTAATTTATAACATGTTTGCTAATTTTTTAAAATTCTCCTGAATCTAAAAATGTTTATGTATGATTTTTCCTAAATTTCCACAAATGTTCATGAATTTGGGAAAATATTTGTCGCTTTATTTTGAATTTTAAATCTCCCCATTTTTGTTAGAGAGTTCAAGATTTGAGAAAATATTCACGAATTTGGAAGAAGTCCATGAATTTTAGAACGTATTCATGATTTTTAAAATGTGTCTAGATTTTAGAAAAAAATCAAGAAACTAAAAAATAATGATGAATTCACAATGATTTCATGAATTTGAAAATGTTCATAAATTTCAAAAAATATAGATGAATTAAAAATAATTTATGGATTTAGAAAAGTTTCTGAAAATCATGAATTTATAAAAATGTTCAGCAGTTCTAAAAAATTGTGAATTTACAAATATTCATAGTTTCCAAAAAGAAAATCCCAAATTTAAAGCGTGTTATTGGTTTTTAAAATCACAAATTATAATGTGGAACAAAAAATTAAAGGAGAAAATGAAAAATAAACAGAAAATAAAAACTGGTAGAAGAAACAGAAAGGAGAAAAAAAATCAAATATGGTTCTATAACCTTCTTAAAAATGGCAGGAGAAAGAACAAAAAAAAAAGAAGATAGTGAGCCACCTGTATACCTGCTAGGGTGCGTGTTTGGTCGACATTCTCCGTGTCACACAACGAATAGGGTTTGCCTTGCCGGCCGTCTTAGAAACTCCCTTTGATGCCTGTGTAGTACTCCGTCTGTCTAGTTTGTAGTATTGATCCATGCATTAGTATGTACGGTAAGATCATCATAATATATATTTCTTGGTATACATATTTTCCTTCAGTCAACAAAACTTCATCATTAACGTACATGTATGTCCCTGGGAAGAAAACTCAAGCCTAAGGAATGTTTCCCTAGAAAACATACATATTCCGTAAAAATTGGAACACATTCCATAAAAGATGGTCATGCACAAAGCTCTTAATGTGTGCTGATCTAACGTCGATGACCGGGTACAGAAATCATAAAATTTGACGCACCAATAATTTAGTTAACAGAGTATCATCATTGGGTCTTCAAAATTGCATGTAAAAATCTTCAGGCGATCGATCTGCTGAACTCTTATTACAATAGTTGGATATTGCTAGCTATATTTTATTACTATGGTAAGAAAATGCAAAACATGAAACATTTACAATATCACATTATTACAATAATAAAGAACATATAGAAAAAATCTACATTGATTTTATCATGTCTTGAAAATGAGGAGCTAGGTAATATCATTTTTTTATATGCCCTTTTGTAGTCGTGTCTTGAAAATTAGGAGTTAGGTAATATCATGTATTTTTATATGCCGTTGTGTAGTTGTGTTTATGCAATTAATCGTGATTTATTAAAAAGGCAATTAACTATGGAATTCCTATGATAAAACTAGGTACCTCATTGTTGTCGATGATATATGGACGGTAGCAACATGGGATACAATCAGACCGAAGTTGCCAGACAACAAAAATGGCAGCAGGGTCATTGTGACCACTCGGATAGAGAGTGTAGCCGAAGCATGCGGTGATGCTAGTGTTGATGGAGATCGCATTTATCAGATGAAACCCCTTGATTTTAATGACTCCAAGAAGTTGTTCCTCAGCAGAGCATTTGGTTCAGAGAACGACACTTTGCACAATGATCTGAGAGGTGAAATGGACAAAATCTTAAGAAAATGTGGTGGGCTACCAATGGCCATTATTAGTATTGCCAACCTCTTGGCGAGCTACAAATCACCGGAGAGCAAAGATATGTGGGAAAGAATATGCAAGTCAATTGGTTCTCAAATGGAGAACCACCCTACCCTTGAGGGCATGAGGAAAATAGTTACTCTCAGCTATAACCACTTGCACTATTATCTCAAGGGTTGCATAATGTACCTTAGTATTTTCCCAGAGGATTATGTAATCACCAAGAAGCGGCTCTTGAAGAGATGGATAGCTGAAGGACTAGTTGCTGAGATTCGAGGTTTGACCTTAATGGAGGCTGCAGAAGCCTATTATAATGAGTTATTGAGTAGGAACATGATTGTTCGGGCCGGTGATATTGTCAGCCGGTGGGATGGGACTGTGGAGACGTGTCAGGTACATGACATGGTCCTTGAGGTCATGGTGTCCAAATCCCTGGAGGCTAATTTTGTTAGCCTAGTAGGTGGCTCTTATGAAGGGATGTCCTACGGTAGCATTCGCCGCCTATCCATCCATGGTGGAGAGGTAGTATCCGAAGGCTCTTGCTCCACTGAAATTGCAACATCACATGGTAGGAAGAATGACATCGAAGGGATGAAGATGGAGCATGTCCGATCACTGAGCATGTTTGGCCCTAAAGATAACATGAAGATGCTTGATCGTCTAGGTGAGTTAAGTCTGCTCAGGGTACTTGACCTGGAAGACTGCACGGCCATAAAAAACAAGCATTTGAGACATGTTTGCCGGATGTACCTTCTCAAGTTCTTGAATTTAAAAGGAACAAGTATTAGTGAGATGCCTCCGGAAGTCGGTGACCTAGAAAATTTGGAGACCCTTGATGTACGTCAGACACACCTTGAAGATCTACCGGAAACGGTGACAAAGCTAGAGAAACTAGAACACCTCCAATTCAACAAGAAGGATGCCATATTTTATACGTCTTGGAGAGCAAGTAAGGGCCTGGGTAGGATGAAGGCATTACAGACGGTGAATGCAGTAGTTTTTGGAAGTGATGCTGATGTTGCCGAAGAGCTTGGTAACCTACAACAAGTGAGAGAGTTACGTATGGATGTGGACTGCGGTCCCCTTGATCTGAATGTTAGGAAAAATCTTGCTGTGTCCCTGGGCAAGATATATTCCCTCAGGTGGCTCAACATTACTGATCATCCTTGGGTCAACCGTACCGACCCTCTTGGGGACCCACAATATTTGGACTTCATACATGAAATCGACCCCCCGCCGCGGCTCCTCGGATATCTTAGGATCGGCTCCGGCATTAGCAAATTGCCCGACTGGGTCGGGTCACTGAATTATCTTACCGAGCTTTTCCTTTCTTGGACATACTTGGTTGGTGACCAACTGTTTGGCCCAGTATGTAAGCTGCCAAATCTGCTGGGCATACACCTGGAGGCGTACTACTACGTTGCTCCAGAGCTGGTTGCACAAACTACCCACAACTTCCCAGCGCTCAAGAACCTATGCCTGAACTTTGATATTCATTTTATGGAGGTTCTCAGATTTGAGGAAAAATCAATGTCAAAGCTCGAGAAACTCCAGGTGAGATTTCTCGACAAAGATACTAAGATACTGGAAGGCATGGACAATTTGACAAGCCTTAAGGAGGTGGTGCTCGAAGGTAACAGAGACAACCCTGCATTGCACCGTGCAGTGCAGCAATTAAAGACAATGAATGAGAAGCGCCAAAAATCCGATCAGATCAAGGTTGTAGTTAAATACGGCGCCGTGCAGTGGCCCAGTGTGTAGTTAGATGTCGTGATCACGCTGTGTTTGTCACTCTGCTTGATTACAGGAGGTTGGTTTGGTTCACTTTGGTTCAGTTTCTGTTACACGAGTGTTGTTTCTCGAGGTTTTTCTCCAGATCTCGTTACTACTTTCCTGTAAGTTGTCCTTGCCAACTGGTTATCCCTACCGTTGTGGTGTTGTTTGCTTCTTGGCCTGTAAAGCTAGCTGGGGGTCCTCAGCAGCTTAAGACTTGAGTTTGTTAAACAAGAATTATTATGATTATGTAATAAAGCCGAAGATTGTGGCAATCTAGACTGCTGTTGTTTTCTTGCTCATTGATTTACCTTTCCAACAAATGTATATTTCTTAAATTCAGTTCCCCGTCGATTTCCCTGTCATCTGTTTGATAGAGGCAGTCAGTGTTCAATTGTTTAATTCTTGTTATTGTTCTTACGGCATTGCATTAGCTTGTGGTCAATGAATAGGATCCAACTCAACTTAACAAGACTCGTATTGAAAATAAGCTGAAACTAAGGAAATAAACAATCAAGATGCCGCCCTTGTAACTTTGTAAGTACAATTCAAGCTTGTCTGAGTAGACGACAAGGAAAGCAATTGTGAGAAGAAAAAAGTGCAGCAAACTAATTCCAAGGAAAACTAGACCCAAGAACAAAAATGATTGCATGCATCGTCTTGATGCAGAGGCCGGGGGTTATCCTCCTTTTCAAAAAAAAAAGACAAAAGAGGGAGATAAGTCGAGCGTACCAGGCCTGCAACAACACCATTTAGCACGCCGTAGCCTCTGCAACCAGAAGGCTAAACAGGCCATTAGCCTGCCGCGGACGACACTCCGGACGAAATAACTGTTACAATATGAACGAATAATCATTGGCTGTCGTGGTAAATATTCAAGGGCAACACACTCAACTGATACAGGGTTATGGCCAATACTCCTACAGTATTGATCAGGGTACCTTAGGTTAATAATAAAAGAGAGCAAGCAAATACTGCCGGCCTGCCTGACCATGGTTTCAATAATTTGTACAGAAAAAAAATCCCACTTGGCCCTCTTCATATCTGTAACCAAATCTTCCGTCCCGAATACAGCGAAACAGGGGAAGCGTTCGCCGTCCCTTGTTTTTCTAAAGCCTCTGATCCACGCTGAATCCGGCATTCCTATTGCTCCCTCCATACCCCGTGAATAACGGTGGAACCTGACTCTTCCTAGTACAGTACATACTTTCTTGTCCAGTTGGACAATTACGATTACGGCCATGCTTCAGTGTGAAGTTCACCGGCCCTTAAAATAGCTGCCTCATTGCCAGTCGCTTTGCAGCATGATTCTTGTTGCAGAAAATTACTGCAACACAACCTTTGTTTCAGTGGTAAAGGGTGATGCTCACCGCTCAATACACCATATCTAACGTCTCGCGATGCAGCGGATCTTTTAAAAAGATCCGTCCGCCAACGCGTAGCAGCGCCCCAATTTTAAAGGAATTTTTATATATAATACTGGTTGCCTCATGGCATGCCTGAGAGTTGGGAGTCGTGTTTTTCTTTCGTTGTCTACAGAGTAAGAAGAAGAAATGCTAAGAGACGGGATTTGGCGGCAAATTAACCTGCTAGGCGCGACGGTCGAGCTGGGAGGTTCGCTCGCTCATACAGCAACACTGTCTCCGTCGCTTCTGTTGGTGGGAAAGGTGAGGGGCCACAGAAAGACGGCGCCGGCGGCGGAACCTAGAGCTCGCTCTGTCGTCCCTAGCGAATAGGAGGGTGGCCTCATCATGGGCCGGCCCAGCAGCGTCAGATCTGAATACTTTTGAAACGCGAAAAATATATATTTTGTGAAAAACAATTAAAGCTCGAACATTTTTTGAGTCTGTGGACGGCAGGAGCATTTTTTGAAAGGGAAAAGCTTACCTTTAGCCGGCTGATGGGGTGCGAGCGTCCGTCGCCTTCGTGTCCGACAGATTGACTCTTGATCAGATGGTCGAGAGTAACCCCTTCATGTCTGCGTTTCTGCAACTCATGCCTTGTTTTAGAAAACAACGTTTCCAATTGTCTGGTTCCCGTGGCGTGCGGAGACTGATCCTGCAGCTGGGAGGGCGACACCGGCAAGGATTTCAGCCGGATCTTGCCGGATCCGACGAGTATGGCGCGTGGGCAGGCCCGGGCGTCCTGCAGCGGCGAAGACGGAGACTCGTGCGACTGGGAGCGCAACGACGACAAGGATTCCAGCCGGATCGGACGAGGATGGCAAGCGGCGAAGACGGAGACTCGTGCGACTGGAAGCGCAACGACGACAGGGATTCCAGCCGAATCGGACGAGGATGGCAAGCAGGTAAGAGGCGGAGGACATCCGCGAGCGACGGGGGCTCCGCTCGGCGAGGTCCAGCAGGGTTGGAAGCGAGCTTCATCCCGACGACCCACGCTGGCAGCGACGCATGGCTTTCCCGTGGAAAGAGGCGAACAGACGCAGAAAACTGAAGGAAGGAATGACGGCGAGGCGACCTAGTCGAGGTCCGATGCTCGGCGGCGGCACGAAGGCGTGGACGGGTGGCGTCGATCCTCCCTCACCGCCACGTGGCGAAGCTCATGGTCTGCTCTTGCTGCTACCGGTGATGAAGAAGATGTTGCTCGCCATTGACGATGGCAAGGCTGCCATCCACTTCTGCAACATCAGTTCCGTTGCAAAAACCAAATGTGCAACAAAACTTTTGTTGCAAAAGAAATTCCGCAACAGGAGCGCTGTTGTAAAAAAAATCCGCAACAACACCCTTGTTGCAAAAAAAACCGCGAGGGAAACGACTATGAGCTGCAGATGCTTTTCTGAAACATAGATCTTGTTGCAAAAAATGCAACAATTATGGGGGCTGCTAGGCGTCGGTAGGCAGATCTTTTAAAAAGATCTGCCGCCTCGCAAGCCGTCGAATCTAACGCAATCTAACAGGTGAACGTATTTCTCTATTTCACAACATCGATCTTGTTGCGGAAACATTTGCAACATCGGTTGTGTTGCGGATTTTTTTGCAACACAAGTCTTGTTGCAGATTTTTTTTGCAACAAACATCTTGTTGTAGAATTTTTTGCAACATAGTTTTGTTGTATTTTTTTCCAACATAAGTGATGTTGTAGAATTTTTGTTTGCAGTTTCACCTTTTTGCAACACAGGTATTGTTGCGGAAAGAACTTTTGAAACGCATGTGATGTTTTAGAAAATCTTACCGAGGACGCTGCAATCCAAATTCCTACCTGCCCTGGCCAACATAAAAGATGTGATCAGCGTAATCGCACGGCACATCGCGTGGTCGACGCATACATAAAATCGGTCGGTTGTTTGGAAGCTTTTCACAACAATTATCTTGTTGCAAAAAAATAATCTACAACATGAACTCTGTTACAAAATTTTCTGCAACACGACCTTTGTTTCAAAAAATTCTGTAACATTACCTTTGTTGCAAAGGGAAGGACGACGTTGGGTCACTCGATGGCGTGGATCTGACAGCTCGCGACCGAGCCAATCTTCTAAAAAGATCAGCCTGCGGACGCGTAGCACGTCCCGAGGGCGCCGCTACACGTCAGCCGGCGGATCTTTTTTAAAAATCCGTCGTCTCGTGAGTCATTGAATTTGATGGATTGAGCAACCGAGCGTCACTTTCTATCATTGCAACGCAGGTCGTGTTGCGGGAAATTTCTGCAACACAGGTTGTGTTGCGAAAACTTTCTACAACACGTGTCATATTGTAGAAAGTTTTGCAAGATATTTTTTTTGCAACAGAGGTCTTGTTTCAGTTTTTATTTTTGCAACAGAGGTATTGTTGCAATTTAGTTATTTTGCGACAGAGATCTCATTGCAAATTTAATTTTTCTGCAACATAGGTCTTGTCACAGTTTTTGCGACAGAGTCATTACTGCGGAAACTCATTGTAGTGGATAGTGAGCAACAAACAACGGCCACGTTGACTGAAAGAAAGAGAAAAAGACCGCTCAGTCAAGACACGTGTCGTACGGACGAGCCGACGGATGCTCATGTGCGATCCGCCGGTAGAAACCAAGCGTTTTCCTTTTTGAAACTCCGAACAAAATTTGGAAATTGTTTACATTTTTTGAGAATGGGTAACTTTTTTGAAACTCCGAACAAAATTTGAAACAACAAAAAAATGAAAATAGGATTTTTTCTGAAAATCTGAGCAAAATTTGAAAACTCGAACATTATTTTTAACGATTAATCTAACTTCTGAACCGCAGGTCTTTTGTTATAGATCCGAGTTGTGATTTTAACGGGGATAACTGCCTAATGTGCATCGTTATTGCGATTTTGTGGGACAATTTCCGGTTTTAAGTGGATCGAGATTTGTGGGACAGCTAGCGTTTTTAATGGAAATCTTAATCGTGATTTTGTGGGAAAGTGGCATTTTTCAGTGACGGCATTTTCAGCTAGTATGGGGAGTTGAACCCACAACTTCATTGTTGAGAGGTAAATCCAACAATCAACTGGACTACACAATCTTATTTGTCTGTTTTAATCGTGATTTAATTTGTATATGTTTTCAAATCCCGTTTGAACAGTGGAAGCCAACAGTTAGGCCATTACAAGGGCATTATTTTCGACATAGGCTCAGGCTCGTTGACATAAACTTGTTGAGTAACGGGTGAATTTAAAGCTTGGTCGGAACGCACACCGGTCTGAATTAAAAAAAAAATGTTGCTGGTGGCTGTTGAACAAGGAGAAGACTTGTTACATCACAATTTACACGGTTGTCTCAAGGACTAGGTGGTTATGAATGACACGGAAGAAAAATTGTGGAAACATATCCTGGTAACTTCTGTGTACATAGCACATTAAGACCTGCTAACTTACATACAAACACTATGATAACTTTGATTCGGCTAGAAAAATAATTCAAATATACCCCTGGTAATTTCTATGTAAATAGGATGAAAATTTACACACCATAAGCCTGATATCTTACATAGAAACAACGGGTAACTTTTTGAGCAGGGAAAAAGTTGTTGAAAAC